AGGGAAGGTCCTGGAACGAGACTCTTGTGAATTCCTCATCCAGTGTTCAAGATGAACCTTTGGAGAACATTCCTGCTGAGTGCTAGGCTGATATTCTTGGCAGGTAGGTGATGGAGAGGTGTTACCTCCACCCAAATCTGCAAAATCCAGTGGGGAATGGACATAGACTGCCTGTGAGTAGTGGAGAGGAACCTCTAAAAGGTGTTGAAAACAACGGGATATTGACTGTAGCTCACTGGACATTATCCACCCTATTATTTGTTTTCCATGGCATTATTTCCATAGCCATATAGGAGATTTCTGGATTAATTTTTAATTCTCTGTGTTCTACCTGATTTCATATCATACCTATTGTTTTTTGTTTACTTGATATTAATTACATCTCTTTGCATGTTGATATTAAGGGTTCATGATACAAAAGTCTCCAATATTTGGCTTTGGCAATCAATACTGATATTTGATCAGATTGCATCCAAATATAGCTAAGAAATTGGAAATCTTCTAAAATGTTAATCAGGAAAGTGGGTATCACCATGAAATAACTTCTGGAAAATTCTTGTCAGTGGCTGCATAAAAATAAGCCATATATTAGTTAATCTCTCAGCTTCAGAGAATGAGGGTACTCAAAATAAATCCTAAATTATCTAAGGAATCTGGTGCCTTTATGAAAGGCATGGCATAGCAGGTTATAGGTGATTAACATCATGAAGCAGGAGCTCTTTTCCAGGCCTGTCTGTCTCTCCTAAGGACTTCAGAAGGAAATAGCTGGACAGGCTGTCTGGGAGCCAGAAAAAGATATATTTTGTAGGTAGACTTAATTTTGGTATAGTGCACAGAAGTCAGCAAACACATTTCTTTGAGAGATGAAGGAATAAAAATGAGGTTTATTATCTTTAATTCTTGAGGATGACGGAGGCTCAGGCTGTAACTTGGTTCCCCAAGCCCTAAAGGCATCAACACCTCCCTGAGGGGAGCTGTAAATGGGGGACACTGATGGGGGAAAAGGATGGGAAACATGATTAATTTGGAAGCTTGAGAAGGAGAAATGGGATGAAGGGTGGGATCACAGGAAAGCAGTTCTCAAGTCACTGTGTCTCATCCTTAATAAGGTTTTGTAGATATTTGCCTTTCCCTTCAGCCTGATGGAGCTGGTTTGTTTTGCAGGGACAGCCTCAGGATCACTTGTCAAGCCCCATGAGGGCAGCATTGCTGGAGGAACATGGATTACCATCACTCTGGACGGTGAGCGTTGAATTACTTGGAAGTGTGTGTTGAAATAAAATCATAGAAATGATTGAAAGAGACCTTTAAAATCATCTTATTCCACCCACTGCCATGAGCAGGGACACTTTCCACTATCCCAGGTTGCTCCAAGCCCTGTCCAGTCTGGTCTTGAACACTTCCAAGGATGTAAAAATAACAGATAATCAGCTTCCTTCTCAGGTTTGCGGTGGGAGTGACAAACCCTACCCCACAGAGCCACAGGCTATGGCACTCATAGCATGAAATCAGCTTGAAATGATGACTTTATAAGCTACTGCTGAAGGTTTATTTCTAAGCAACAGAAATAAAAATGTTAACTTTATTTTTTCAGATGTAGGAATAGAAATTTCTTCCCTGCTCCTGCCCTTTTATTGAAGAAAAGCTAAAATTCTGCCCTCTTCATATATCCTGTGATGTTGGAGCATTTTAAAACTCTTATGATAAACATAAGATCAGAATAAAAATTTCAGAAAGTTATGTGTCATGTCCATTTTGGCCCCAAACCAAATGTACAAAGCTAGGTCTGATTTTCTACAGTGATGAATATTTATTCATTATGAGGAGAGCTGGTTTCTGAATCAGCTGTGCATGGTCATTATCTGGCACAGGCTGCCCAGTGCAGGGGTAGAGTCACCAAGGGGATTTAAAAAATGTGTTAAAATGCACTTGGGGATGTGATTTTTACCCTTCCAGTCCTCTCCCCCATGTCCCGGGGGGAAAGTGAGTGAGTGGCTGTGTGGGGCTGAGTTGACAGCTGGGGTTAAACCACCACAACATGAAATTACACAAATGTGGTTTTAAAAAGCCTGATCAAGGGTTCTAAGCATTTTTCCTAGAGCAGCTGGGTTGTACCTCCAAAAATGCTCATTGTGTGGCTGGAAGTGATCCTGTCCTCACAGTGTTTTAGCTTACTTTTAGATTGGGGTGTAAATTTGTGTGGTGTAAATTTTTTTTCTTAATTTTTGTTTTTAAGGAAAGGCTTAGTAGTTTTTTGTTAGTTGGTTTTATGGTTGTTTATTGTAAATTATTTAAAAGATTGTTTTTTTGGGTTGTTGTGGTTTGTTTAGTAACTTAGGTAAAGGTATATATACTTTTAGTTCTTTTTTTGTTTTTGTTTTTTTTTTTTTTCTTTCTCCCCACCCAGGGTTGTTGTTAGCTTTTTATATGGTATATTATGTGTTAAATGTTTGTAGTTTTTTAATGCTTATTATTTATATTAAATAGTGTTTTTTATTTTAAATTAATTTGTGAATTTTAACATTATTAAGAATATGGAGGTAAGGAAGAAGAAAGAGGGAGGATAGGATAGGTTTAATTTTTTTTTATTTTAAAATTTTTAACTTATATGTATAAAACTAAAACCCCCCCTGTATGGGATTTAAAACCCCCCTGTATAGCACTTAATTTTTTTTTCTTTATTTTGTGACTATTTTTACTATAATATTTAAGCTTTTGTGACTTCTTGTTCTTCCTGCAAACTGAAGCAGTCTGT